GCAGCGCAGGGCAACGGGTGTGTGAATCTGGCGCAGGTTAGTTAGCAGCTACAAATCCCCAATTAATATGCACATGTTTGTTGTCTTAAGGGGATATGCTTATCTGCGATGGGTCAGTTCGGCATCAATGGGCCGAACACCTCATACCCAAGATCAATAAGTCGAGGCCCACTAGCAGATCGGAATCGAAAGCTCATTAAGTTAAGGCACGGTGAATAATAGGAGCCAAGATGGGCAAGAATGTTCTATAGAAATGAGCTTGTCAACAAGGAAATCGACAATAGTTAATCCACGCGCGCGGAGCCTACCGACGTGCATCGAGTCGCATAAGGAGGAATATAGCCGGCGATAAGTGGCAAACTAAGAAGAAGATCCTGGAATAATTTAGTAATCAATGTGAATCTCGTTCAAATTAATATGTGCGAAAATATGTAATGTCTATTTTAGGAATTCCTTATATAATCGAACGTAATAACATAATTATATATGTTTACGATTTGAATAAAGCACACACTCTTCTCTGAACTATGTCGCTACTTTTACAAGTTTCGTTTGATTTGTTCATCTTCATCGGCGTAAACGTCGACGTTAGGCGAACTTTTTCAGCAGTCGAAAGAGTAGAATTTGGAATGAGGTATTGAGGGTGCAAATTCTACACCATCAATTCTCACTCTCTTCTTCTCTTCTCTCTTCTCTCTCGATTGTTACAAGATCAGTTGCCGATACGAATGGCAGCGGCGCTCACACCGGCGGCAACCGCTCTCGATCTAGAATTTGTCTCATCTCTTCTCATTTTCTCCAAGTGCCCGAAAAAGTTTATACGAGCATTATTTTGTTTCTTCAAATTTTGAAAATTGATAATAAATATTGGGCCCACACAATGGGCCCAAATCAAGACCCATATTTAACTAAGAATCGAATATTAATGGGCCAAGCCCATAATAACCCCACAAAAATCATTTTTTTTTATGGTTTGCCAAACATTTCAAGAAAATTGGATTATAATTTAGGGTCTTTCTAGGGTGAGACCACCTAGGATTATAATTTTTTAAGATTAAATCTAGACCTTAGGAAAATAACATGGCTTATGCTCTAAAAAATAATTAATATAAAATAGACATCCTTACATTAAACCCTACTATATTTTAGACCCTACTATATTTTAATTAAATAATTAATTTAAATTCATTGTGATCGAGTTTTATTTGATAAATAATCGAAAAAATGCATTCTTTGGATTATAATTTAGGGTCTTTCTAGGGTGAGACCACCTAGGATTATAATTTTTTAAGATTAAATCTAGACCCTAGGAAAATAACATGGCTTATGCTCAAAATAATCTTATATATAAAAAGAAGATATTTTGAACTATAACCCTAGACCTAAACTTAAGGGTAATTCAGTAATTTCAATATTTTATTTTTCCATATTGTCATTGAATACCAAGGAAAATTAACCGCCCACTAAGATAAACATATACGTGAAAGTGGAAAGTGAATTCCTATTAATAAGGATTAAACTGATTCCATGCTTATTTTTTAATCTTCTTGGTAGTTATTGTTTTTTTAACCAGTTGTTGCATAAATAATTAAAAGAAATGAGCGCACGATCTGATTTTTTCACAAATATTTATCATTATTCAATAACAATTAATTGTATACTCTTTAAAACCCATAATAAACGATCCGATTTTTTTCACAAACATTTAGCATTATTCAATAACTGCAGCAGCAGTTGATTAAAAAAAAGTTATTAACCTCCAAATAACTTCTCATTTCACGTATAATTTTCCTCACACAAACACACTGAGAAAATGAACTGTTAAAAAAATCATTTCTTCATTTTCTTCTTTACATCGACGGTCGACGCATGGCGGATACGCATGGACATCCGTGAAATCTCTTTTCAATTATCGATTTAACGTAACCTTGGTCAGTTTCCGATTCTCCGTTCCTTTATTATGCCGGCCACTTTTTTCGCTCAAAAAATATCAAAACTTCGGTTTGTCTTCAAACGTTGTTTTCGCAGTGGGTTTGATGCTCAATGGCTCACCGGAACAAGTTGAGGAAATCCGGTTGATTATATTGGTAAATTAAATATTTTATTGCTTGATTTTTATTTAGGGGTTTGGTGCAGGAAAGAAACAATCCATGTAGTTGTTTCATTCTTTTGTTTGATTAGTGCAATTTTAAAGTTTTATCTTATTAACTTTAATGTTTTATTGAAGGTGGATAGTTGATTCGGAATATATATTCATTTTACCTCTTCATGTTTTATGTTTTATGTGTAATTTCGCTTTTGATTGTCACCTAATTTTGAACTTTGGATTTTTGTCGATGCAGGCAATCAAGCAAAAATTTTGAGGTATCTCTTCTTCATGAAAAAGGTTTCACGAAAACAATTTTGATCACTTTCGAAAGCTATCGATCAACGAGTTTATATCATTGAGATGTTTTAATCAGTGAGAGGTAATGAACGGTTCCTTATATTTATAGCATTTATCATTTAATATTAAATTTATGTTTTTCTATTTGAAAAGAAATCAATTCATTTAGAATTATTTTTGCGAAACAAATTTAGCATAGTAGCATTCCTTTCTAGGTTCCATGTTCCTGTTGACTCAGCACATCTTTTCTGTCATTTTCCATGTTCACGAACATATGTAGAATAACAACATTCTTCAGCCGCTCTTTTTTTTTTAGCAATTGGTATGTCACAATAGTAGTTTATTTTGGATGTTCTCATCTAAGTTTTCAAACAAATCGATTTGCGATCATATATGAGAGTGTATCTCAGACCGTTTATATGAGTTTTGGCCACGGACTAACGGATTAACTAAGATTTCACACACATTGCACCATATTTGGATATGAAGAATTCCATTATTAATATGCTTTGTAGGGACCATATTTTTGCGCTATTTAAGTAAATGGTTTTCTTGCAGGTTTGTCAAACTCATATTTCTACCTAGGGTTGGGACTGAGTTGATTTTTATCCCTCAACCGTCCATTACCGTCCATTATATGGCAATGATCGTTTTCCAAAGTTCCATCAATTATTAACTTTATTATAATTATATAACATTATCAACGCATAATTTTAAATGTTTATACTAGAGTGAAATTATTTTGTTCAAAAGGTCCCAAAATTATTATTAGTCAACTTCCAATTAAAAGTTTTTAGATTTTCTTCCAATTAATTCAGCCTAAACAAATACTAATTAAAATTAAAATATTTCCTTCAAAAGAAGACTATCTTAATTTACATCAGGGTAACTATTTTATTGTCCCGTGCAACGCACGGGTCATAGATACTAGTTAATATAAAATAGACATCCTTACATTAAACCCTACTATATTTTAGACCCTACTATATTTTAATTAAATAATTAATTTAAATTCATTGTGATCGAGTTTTATTTGATAAATAATCGAAAAAATGCATTCTTTGGAGATAGAACTTGTGACATATCAATACATTCATTACTCCTAACCATCCAAGCATATTAACTTATTAAGACATATTTAACCATAATTATATATATCGGTAAAACACAATATAAAATGATAATAAATTAAAGTATTTAAATACTGTTAAATAAAATATTAATTGCGACATTCATTATTATTAAATTATATTAAATAAATTATTAACAAATTTAATATAATAAAGTTTGAAAAATATAAAGAGTTGCAGTTCAATACGCCAAACATCTATCATTAATTATTTAATATTGGAAATATTAATAAACTCCACCATTTAAAAATGTAAAGAATGCTCAATTAAGTATAAAAAAAAATGCATAACTTAATCCAAACTCACTTATGTTATTAAATCGATAATGTGACAAATCCAAATAAAAATAAAATAATATGTTTATTTAGAAG